CGTGGCCTTGATCTAATCAAACAAATGTACATTAATTATGTTTGTGTTTTTTTGTTTTTTGTTGCATATAGATCTCTGAGTAAAATCCCTTTTATAAGTTTAATATGATAACACAGTACCAGCAGCATTGAAACACGTGGCATTGCACCAGTCAGAAGTGAGGAACCGGTTTCCGTTTCCCACACACCCGCTCCAGTAGAAAGACTTGCATGTGTGATGTTCAGGACTGTAGTAATACCGCAGATAGTGACCGAGACATTGCCCTGCTTCTTTTGGAAGCATGCAAGCTTTGCGTTCTGCAAAAAATAAAAAAGAATACCACAGGGTGGCAGTGTTTTGTTTAGTCAAAGATGTCAGTAAATGAAAATTGGTTTAATTCAAAATGATATATGTGAAATATTACCGTCTCTCGGGTACAGCTCTTCAGCTCTGTCAGAACAGTTTCTCATGCACTGCTTCTCGATAATGAAACGGTTTGCATTTCCCCCCTCCCCTTTGTACCGGAATGGAAAACAACTGTCTTTTACTTCATCGTAGTACATATAAACCTTAACTTCCGATTGACCCGACGTTCCTTCATCTGGTTTCAGACTGCAGGCCTCTAGATTTGGAGAAAAATGAATAAGGAGAGTGATTTCTCACTGTAAAAAAATATTGTTGGTTTAACTTAAAAAATAAGTAACCTGGTTGCCTCAAAAGCCTTAAAATTTTAAGTTCATTGAAATGGAAAAATTGAGTTATTACAATGAAGGAGATTCATTTAATCACCAGAAACTCAAAATATTGTTGATAAAATAAGTTGATTTGACAAAAGAAAAAATATGATTACAAATCATGAAAATATTTTTTACAGTGGTCCTCAATTAAAATGTTGTAAAATCTACACTACATAACCTACATTATGCCAAAGTTCGAATCATCCATGAAAAGATGAGTTTTGTATCTTGAATGTTACTTTTAACCAGTCAGTCCACGCAATCATGCACTCTAAAAAATGCTGGGTTGTTTTAACCCAATTTTGGGTCAAATATGGACAAACCCGAAATGTTGGGTTAAAAATGTAATGTAAAAATTTAACCCAACGGCTGGGTTAGTCCATATTTGACCCAAAGTTGGGTTAAAACAACCCAGCATTTTTTAGAGTGTGTCTATTTTGATTGGCCTTTTTTTTTTTTTTGGCCGACAAACTGATTTTTTTCTCACACAAACCGCTCGTTTCGTTTCTTAGGCCATCAATGTGTACTTACATTTACGAGTCATTAAATCATGTTTAATTTGGACTTCTCTGTGCTTGCTCTTGAGGTGGTGACCATATACCTCCATTATAGGACAATTATAGGACCATTATACAGAAAATACTGTGGAAACAAAGACATCTTGGATGTCCTTGAGGTAAGCTAAAACATATCAAAAATTAATTTCAAAGTGAACTATCCCTTTAAGGCATGAAGACATTTTTTTTTTTGAAGGAAAAAACTGTTAGCTTTGTAATTTTGGTGATCAAATATGAGTTTTAAGGGGTACAATTATTGACTACAGGGAGAGTTTTGTAATAAGTAACATAAATTAGGGTTTTAAGTTTCTACATGAATGTTTATTGCATTATTTTAGTGTTACCACGATGGTGTTTTGTATTTGTTTGTAAATGCACCTTCTATATATTAGTATTTACCTCATCTTGTGATGAACTTAAATTCGTCGTGTGGCTTTCTCTTTACCTCCTGTGTTATTATGGTGGTTGTCAGTATATGTTAAAGGATCAAAACAGATTTTAGTTACAGTGTGGTTATGCTTATTCAGCAGAAAAGGACTGTTGGATTTACTGGTTTATTTATTTATTTGTTTGTAAATTACACCAGTTTTAAGCTGTAAATGTTGTTTACATTTTACTGTATCTTTATATAATTATTCTGGCAATCAAGTTTTCTTAAAGTTGTATTTTTTGTACACAGTTCTTAAAATTCTTCATCTTCTAATAAGTTTTGAACTTGAACTATTAAAGCTTTTTCATTCAGACTCTGGATCAACAAATATTAATATGTTTCATGATGTTTCACTTTAAAGGGTCAAAATTAACTGTCACAAAATCTCTCAAATGTTGTGGGAATCTTCTCCACATGTTAACGATTGTGTGACTAACTGTGGTCTACAGAAACCTAAGACAATGGCTTTATTTTCTGTTTGTACTGTTTACTGATTGGCAATCATACCTAAACACTAACATTCAATTGCCAATTTCACTGAGTTTGCATTTGCCACTGCCAAGTGCTTTACAGGGTTATTACTATTCTACTGGTCTAAAACACTGTGACTATATAAGATCAAACCAGACATAAACCCTGTTAAAAAATTAATTTATTAACCTTTGTTTTTTATTTATCTACATTTGACAATAACAACACTTACCTGGTTTCTGAGTTTGTGCCTTAGTGTTGTGCTTCAGAGTAAAAAGGAGTAAAATGATGACAAGTTCCCTCATGGTGAATCAGAGAGTCGAGTGAACACTGGGGTTCATGAATGTTTGAGGAAGTTATTATGATTAGACATGAGATTGTTTGGTATTTGTACTGTCTGAGCAATAAAACTTAGAGGAGGAGAAAAGAAGTATGATTTCCAATAACTCGATTATACAGTGCTAAAATGAAACTATTATGGCATCAAGTTAAAGGGATCCTAATATGCCCTTTAATGAAGTCTTGATTTTGTTTTTGGTGTGTACTGGAAAATGTTTTCATGCTTGATTGTTCAAAACATGCATTATTCACAATAGAAGCTTGTTGTAGTCCCTACCAGCCGTTTGTTGTAGTCATTAAAAAGTGATTTCTGTAAAAGAAAATATCTTCCTTTGCTTTGCGCTTTTAGCCTCGTTACTTTGCAGACGTTGTTTATGCTCAAATAGCAACATTACACACTGACTAAGTAAATATTTTTAAAAAATCATAATCAAGGACCATCAATATATTCAATAATATTATAATATAACATAATATAATAATGTGGCCATTTTATGGATGCCAAAGAGGCTCCACAAATCAGGTTTCAGGATTCAGGTTTCAGTATTGGCTGTTCCTAGTAGAACATTAACACACTCTCGAGTAAATTCAAATCTCGAATCCCATCATAAATAAGATTATAAAAAAAAAAAAAAACATGTAAATGCAAAATATATTTATTCTGGAGTGGCTCAGCTGGTATAACACTTCTCCCTCGCTTGACCTTTTGATCACTAAACGATCATCCATGTGTCTCCAGTGGGTGATTCGCATATATGTGACGTGACAGATTTAGCTTGGAGTGGCTGGAAGCTTGCTTCCACTGTGTAATAAAAAATAAAAAAAGGGTAGTTGCAAGTTAACTCACAATAGCGAGAAAAAAGCTTCCATATAAAGTAGCTGTAAGTGTGTATAAGAAAAAAAATCTGAACATCTGTATCTCGCTATTTACAATTTTTGTCACAAAATATAGGCCTACAGGGAAAAAAAATGATTTTTTTTACTAGTAAAATACATTTTAAAAGAGACTGTACTTTTTTGCTTAAAGTCCCCGTGAACCGGAAGTTGCAAACGATTTTTCTCCAGTGCAGTGACGTATTTCCAAGTGAAACGGAATATTGAACAGAGGGCAGGGTTTTACTCTAGCGCTCCTCCTCTCCATCTCTCGCTCATAGCAAACTAACGGTTTGAGGGGAGTGGTTAAGCGTTTCCCCACCCAAACTGTGAAACCTACGTCATCAGAAAAAGAAACCGTTCCAGACCGGAAGTAACTTTTCAGATTTTGATTAAAGATTACTAAGGTAAAACATTTTTTTAATATATATTCACTTGCACGGATTAATTGTTCACCACAAGACTAGTAATATGCGCTAACAAAGTAAATAGGTTCAATTTTGATTTCACGGGGACTTTTGAATTCTTCTTATTAAATATAGCCTACACATTAACCCTTTGTGTAAGCGTGTGGACATATTACATAATTATACTACATAAGTTGTTATTATTTACAATGAAAGTTGAAATGACTTTAAAAAAAAGTTGCGGCCTTAAATTAAAGTGCAATCAACTTAGATGTTTATCAGTGCATGTATTACATCATTATAGGATAAAGCATTACAAAATTAAACAAAACAGAGATTTGATATTGTAAGAGAAATATAGCTTTTTTTCATTTCATAAAGAAAAGCTATTATCATTCGATGCTTATGTACTGTATGTCATTTAACTATAGGCAAAGGTAGCCTATAGCTGATAGGGAATGTTCTCAGAACCCCTGGCAAGGTTCTCTCAAATGTTAAATAAATGTTCTTCATAACGTTAAAAGAACGTTTGTTCAAAGTTATCTGGTCTTCAATAACGTTAGCACAAAAACATTAGCCTAGCATACATCATTTGTGCAATGTTTTTTCCCCTCTCGTTGAAACGTTTAAAAATTCGAAGTTCGTCTAACATTTCTAAAAGTTATTAGGCCTACTTGTTGCAGAATTTAAAAGTAGGCTTAAAAAAACTTCGCACAACCAATTTCCAATACTTTTAAAAAAAAATTAAACTTGACATTTTGAAAGTTCAGAGAACACTGAGAAGTAACTTAACTTAACGTAACGTTTCATAACTTAATGTAACGTTATGAAAACGTTCTTATAACATATTTTTGTTTTACTGAATAATGAAATAATTCCATTCCTCGAATCTGATTGGCTAGCCGGCGTTCCGACCTACTTGATGGATAGACGTGATAAATTACGTTGCAGAACCAGTCAAAGATAATGTATAGGCTATTTCTACATTAAACACAATACCTGCAATAAGCTACATACACACCTATAATAACGCAGTGTGTCATTTGCGGGCACAGTAAACACCGAGCAAATGTTACAATATGGGGATATCACTGTCAAGCTATAATTTTTTTTTCTCATATCACATGACGCACCATTGTACATTGTTTGCGGAGTTTTTAAATTACCGGGTTGAGAACGTGTGGCTAATGGCTATTTAGACAAGTTGTGCGCTTCTGATGCCTGAAAAGCTATCTGGGTGGCAGCAACACTCGAGAAGGCACAGCCACAGATTTGTATGAAGTCACTGCAAACGAGCGACAGACAGATTTCATCACCGTGACGTCAGTTTGTTTAACTCGCGAGCCCACTTGATATAAGAGACGGTTCCGACAGCTATGTCAAAATTTCTCTCTTCTGAGTCAACTTCTGAGGGTACGTGAGAAGCCTGCACTTCGCTGCAATGACAATTACACTTCTGTTTATCATCTTCATCGCGTCTCCCCTCGCGTCCTCAGGTAAGTTAGTCTCGCGCAGAGCTCTAAACTTCCATTGATAGGTCAAAAACATGTGAAACTGTTGCTTAACAGATTACTAGCCTACTACATCTGCATTCAAATTTGTAGCTTACATATGGAAGAATTAAAGAAGTGAATTAGTTCACATTAGATAGGTAGGCTACCTATAATATGGAAATGTTTGCTAATATAGGCTAATGAAAGTTATTAGTAGTTTTTGTTGCCGAATAATGGATTATAGTTATGATATTTTGATTATATGCTGCAGAAATGTAACATTTTTACTCTTATTTCTGTTACATTTATTTTAGAACACACATTTCTGAAATTTTCATATAACATTTTTTCAATGTTAGTAATAAAAAAAACTTATTACTGTGAAAAATAGTCAATTAAAATATCAAATCGTAACATTTTGCATTACTTTAACTTGACAAAATGTTCTCATATTGATGTAGAAGCAATAATTTGGGAGAAAATTGAACATCATAGATTCCTGGAAGTTCATTCAAGTTGTTAACATAATGAGTGGGTGAATGTTGTTTCCATAAATGAACAACCTTGGGAGTAAAGTAAGAACATGTCAAATGTGTAATTATAAACTTGCAGAACCCCAAAACGCTCTGAATTAGCATGAAGATTTCTGTCTGCATGATCTGACGAATGACCTTAAATGACCCCGGTGTATTGAAAACCACAGGAGCAACATTTGTCACGCCAAATTAGCGCCCAGGTGCTGACTTAATTGCACTGCTGGTATCTTGTCTGTAAATCTTCCCCAAAAGGATCAGTTCAGGAAAAACCTACGCTCCCATAATAGCAAGGAAGATTAACTTGTGTGAAAGAAAGTGATGACCAAATTGCTGAAAACATTTTTGCACCTTCCTGTTTGGAGTCTCAGTCTCATTTTGGGGAAAATATCATATTTTCCTGTGCCATTTTGAAAAATTTCCATCACTTTACGCAATTAACGCATAGAGTTTTTCCTGTAAAAAAATAATAAATAGCTGCACCATACAAAAATGCTTTAGACAAGTATGTCTTTTAAATTGCAGTTTGGACTTTGATTTCCGTTGACTCGCTCTTCAGCATTTTTAGCAGTGGCAGATTATACACGCTCTCGGGGAACCTCGTTGTCAACCAGAAATCTGTGGGAAAGACCAGCAAGAGTCTGGCTCAGCCTGTCCGTCAGATTGACTGAGAGTAGCCTGCGATGCCCAGAGCAGCAGGTTGCAACCAGAATGGAGTCCAGCTGTAATGGAATGCATTTGATTTATGACATGAAAACAGGTCTGAGAGAATGGAGCTCGACACCCAGTTTCAAAACTTTTAATAATTATGTCTCTTTTATCTCTTTTTTAGGGGCAAAATGGACATATAATGGTAAGTAGGCTATTTTGTTTTGTAATTTCAATCATTTTTACAATGTAGATTCAAAGAGTTTCATGTAAGACAGCCATGTTTTCCATACTAAATAAACAACAGAAAGAATATTTAGTTTTATTAATTTCTATCCACCAATATAGCAATAGTCATAAACAGTAAAATATACCTGCATATTGTACCTAAAAGTTTGGATACGATATTTTTTTCTCACCAAGGCTGCATTTATTTGACCAAAATCTTTCAAAATATTTTATTTATTGCTGTAATGCGAATCTGAACTGTCTTATATTTTAAGAAACATTTATTATCATTATTATCAATGGTGAAAACAGTTGTACTGCTTAATAAATTAATGGAAACTTTTTTTCAGTATTCTTTAATGAATAGAAATCAAAAGAACAGCATTTATTTAAAATAGTTTTTAAATATAACAATGTAAGAGTATTTACAGTGCAACCTTGCTGAATAAAAATACTAATTTCTCTCAAAAAAATTTTTTATTTCTACTAAAACATTTTCAAATATGACAAATGCCATTTAGAGACATCTGCACACAGTCATGAGGTGACAAACTGAAATAATTAATAGAAGTTAATCAAACTGCAACACCCTTTTTCATTACTGAGACTTTACACTGTAAAAAAAGTATATGAACAACAAGTTATGACATGTTAACATTACTTTAACTCATCCAATTAAGTTAAGCAGCTTAACTTTTTTTTTATAAATTCTACAAGATTCAACTCCTTATTTAAGTCTGTCTAATGTAATTTAAGTTGAAATGACTTAAACATCCAAGTTGATTCAACTTAAAATTTTAAGGCAGCAACATAATAAGCTAAAAATATGATGGTAAAAGCTGTCTAATGACATTTAGGGGACTTAATGGTCAAATAAAACGCAGATACATTTTTACGATGTTTCTTATGACTTTTATTTCGCCAGCAAAATCTTTGAAAGTGTCATTAGCATATTTAATATTTCACCTTTCTGTAAGTAATTGAGTTGTAATGCGTTTCCTAAATGGCCAGATGCCGTCCTTTTCACCTCAGTAAAAAAGGTCATTCAGTCACACAGAGACCAACAAAACGTGCTCTTTACACCTCGCAGAGCTTTAAAATAAACATGCTTAATCACGACTGCTGTCGCAGAGTTCTGGTCATGTGCTTTCACCTAGGGAACCAAGCAGGCTTCTGGTTACCATCGTCATGAGTCAAGCTTATTCCTGGGCAGTCATTTTAACTGTTATCACTAACAATCCCAGTATACCTTTCCAGTGTGGACATGGAGACCCACTGGCAGCCATGATGAAGGTATGGAAGGAAGGAAAAAACAGGTTGCTGCTGGAAAAAGGGAACTAGTGGTGCAAAGTTGACCTCGTTTTGACCCCTTTTTGGCTCTCACGGCTCTGAAATGATCCCCGTAATGTCTCTCATGTCATTCCTGTTAGCTTCCCCCTCTGCTTTCTCCTCGTGCCGCTGTCACTCACATGTTTTTATTGGCTTGAATTGTAGGTTCCACGATGGAATTACATATATTTACGTCATTACATTTCTAGTTTTGATTTATTTTAAAGCTGGGTTGAACTGAGATATAAGGCAACTCAGGGGGACTCTGTAACAAAACAGAGTTTGGCGTTATTTTAGGAAGAGATTGTTCGTCTAATTGCTTGGCTGTGAAATTTTATAGCTCTCTATACTTAGGAAAGAACAATGCATTATATTATTCTGTCTTTGTGTGTGGCACATTGCAATTTACAAGCTGAATCTCTTCTGTCCCTTCAGTTACGCTCCTGTGTGCAAATTTGCAGTGCCTGCAAAGTCAGACTACCTTGTAATGTGCTGTATTTTAGGCTTGTAGACTAAGAATTTTAGACAACGTGATTATCAAACCAAGCACCCTCATTAAGCAAATTGCTAAGTTTAGCTGCTACTAAAACTTGATTTTTGCATTTTCTGAAGAAAACATGAGCTGTATGAGTCAGCGGTTAAAATGTGTGGTTGCTAGGGTGCTCTGAGTGGTTTCTAGGTGGATGTTTGTTATCAGAAGCGTTGTTAGGGTGTCTCTATATGGTTGCTAAGGTGTTCTGAGTGCTTTCTATGCCCATGTTTACTGGTCTAAGTCAGACAAGCTTCCAACTTTGTTACATGGTTGCTAGGGTGTTGCTATGTGGTTGTTTACTGGACCAAATCGCACCCTCATGTCTTTATAATTCTTATATGGTTGCTATGGTCCACTGAGTGGTGTCTAGGTGGTTGTTTGTTAGCAGAATTGTTGTTAAGGTGTTGCTATATAGTTGCTAAGGGGTTGTTTACTGGTCCAAGTCAGACAAGTTTCAAACTTTGTTACATGGTTGCTACGGGTTTGCTATGCAGTTGCTATGTGGGTGTTTACTGGACCAAATCAAAGAACCCCACCCTCGTGTCCCTATACCTGTAATTATTATGTGGTTGCTATGGTGCATTGAGTGGTTTCTAGGTTAGGGTGTTGCTATATGGTTGCTAAGCTGTTCTAAGTGGTTGCTATGTTCTTGCTAAGGGGTCGTTTACCAACTTTGTTACATGGTTGCTACGGGTTTGCTATGCAGTTGCTGGGTCGTTGCTATGTGGGTGTTTACTGGACCAAATCAAAGGACCCCACCCTCGTGTCTCCATACCAGTGGTTGCTATGGTGCATTGAGTGGTTTCTAGGTTAGGGTGTTCTAAGTGGTTGCTATGTTCTTGCTAAGGGGTTGTTTACCAACTTTGTTACATGGTTGCTAGGGTGTTGCTAGGTGGTTGCTAGACCAAGTTACAAGAGCCCATCCGCATGTCTACTAGGGTGTTTAAATGTGTGTCTAAAGTAGTTGCAAAGCCATTGCTAAGTGGTTGTGTGACTGGCTCAAGACAAGTCCCAAGATATAAGTAAATAAGGGATTTTTTGCCCGTTAAAATGTTTATATATATTGATATGTATTTACTGTATGTATAATGTATAAATATTTTGAGATGTGGACAATGTGATAATGGAGTGAAAGTGTCCAAAGCACTGACCACTGCTTGAAATAGCATGACGAATTTCTCCGAGAGAAACACTGCAGTGCTTGTGCTGCTGTGTAGATGTTATCAAGCATATCAAACAGAGCTTAGATGAGCGTTGTCCTTTGTGTTGGCTAACAACTGAGAGCTCTTGACATTCTGAGCCTGAATTAATTCCGGTGAGTCAAGGCCTTTTATAGTCGCTTAGAGGGATGTAATGACGTCAAACATCTACACCCTAAGATGAAAACACATATGCACTACTCAAAAAAGTTAGCATAATTTATCCCGGTAAAACACAGACATGAACGGCACCTCAAATTCTGCATTTGAGTCGAGAATATCCTAGAGATCTGGAACTGTGCTCTTTCAATTTGGACTAGGCATTTTCTTCATAATGCCAGTTGCAACAAACCCCAAATTAACTTTTAATAATAAAAAAAAGTACTTGATTTGTATGTGATTTAATTGTATATATTATTTTGATTTAAAGTAATTAGCACTAAAGGTTTTCTCAACTTAAGGGATTTGATTCAAATAGCTGCATGACCTCAGCTTCCCGCGGTTCAGTGCGTTAATGTCAAACACATCCAGACCAGAGAGCTTCAGATGTTTTACTGTAGAGGCCTGCTCATTATGACCACATCACAGACTGACAGTAATGATTTAGAGTTATGACCCTCTATGGGCCCAGCCACAGGCATCTGATGTGATTATGATGGAGAAGTTACTCTAGATTAAAAATGAACTGGACGGTGAGTAATTACGACCGCAAGAGAAAGTTAAGCGTGTTAAGCTACTAAAAAAGACTGTGTAGTTTCGCAGTTACAGCGGTCCAGAAAACAAAAGCTGCCCACAAAACCATGATCATCATTGACGAAGAATACGCAAGAACTTAATGTGATGTTTTAAGCCCACAGCAACAACAAATCACTCTTACTGCCACCGTTTACAGAAACAGAAACCATGATGATTGCATTTAAATTCTAGAAATGATTATGTTAAGGAACTTAGTTATGTCTTCTCTAAAAGATCCACAACGCACCAGAAATGGCTTTTAGACAAGCATACACTCTGTTGGAGTGACTTTGAAGCCTCCTCCAAAGCAGCAAAAAATTATCTTTTATTGTTGAATGTGGTATTCATGTAAGGGCATTCATTTTGTAAGGCAGTGTTCTGTGACCGGTGACTTTAGCGTATGTCTTAGCAAAACTTGTGGCTAATGCTCTCCAATTCGGGCCACACCAAGGGCCAGATTTGCTAAAAGCTTGCGCCAGCGCAAACACTCTTGTGGCGTTAAAAAGCGACTTTTAGGATTTAGAAAAGATACTCAGTGAAAAATAAGCGCTGAAAAGGTGTGGATAGTTTTTTTTGCGGCTGACGTCAAATGCATATGCATTTGTTGGAGTTTCCCTTTCAGATGCCAAATTTATGGGAGGAGAATATTTAAATGAATCATTCAAGGTGTTTACCAAGCTTTGTGCTCATCAATTTATTGCTATTTGCGCCATTATTTAATGCCCAAAAAACGTAAACCAGATGCTAATTTGCGCTGTTCTTGGTAGGTTGCATTGGTTATAATGGAAGAGATACGGTTGCGTCTGTATTTTTTAAATTTGCGCGTCGTCTTTCCACTTTCCACTTATGGAATTGCACTCTCATGCTAATTTAGGCCGTGTGTCCACCAAAGCGTTTTTAGCCAGCTGAAAACTCTAGACGCTCTGCTGAAGACGCCGTGCATTGGGCGCTTGAGAGCGTTTTGGCAGCGCAGCGTTTTTTTCCGTTGAGACGTTTCGTTGCTATGATACAGAATATCCGCAGCAGTTTGAATGTTGACAGTTGGTCGGTGTGGTATTAGTCCCGCCCCTCCTCCACTGTGATTGGACGGCTGGGTAAAAAGTGACAGTGATGAGCGCATGGGGTCATGAACTGGCTTTTTAAATTTTATTATATTGTTGTCTGAGGTCAACTTATGACGTTCGCTTGGTTTTTGCAGTCAAAAACATCAAAATGAGTAAATAATAGGCTATTTTGTACCCTAGTTTTGAGCCTAGCTGAAAAAACGCTCGGTTTTTATGGGCATCTCGCACTGAAGACTTGGAAGTAAACGCCCACTGCTGTGAGTGGATAACAGTTTTGCATATTATAATGACTTTCAACTCACTCGTCGATGCACGTGGGGGAAATTGTTTTGAAAACGTCCAATTTTGTAAAATGTTAACCAGAATGATTCGCCCACATGTTCGACCCAGAGTCCGTGTGTTGCACAATTCCTGTCGGATCCAATATAGACGGCACAGCACCGTTCTTTACTCTTAATCGGTCTGCAAATCCAGTCTTGTTTACAAAACAATCCTTAGTGAAATGAAGCGAACAGACGACGATGTTTTACCTCACCAGCTGGAACGTCATTAAAAATAAAGTTTATCCATGCAGTCCTATTGGAATCCAGAGGAAGCTTATGCAGCGACTGTCTTCTTCCACAACCAGGCGATGCACAATATTTTGTATCGCTCGGTAGCTCGATCCGGTTTGTCATCACAAGGTAGGAATCTGTGTTTTTTATCTATGCGTGTAATGCGCGAATCGATGGGCGGGGCTAAACTGGCCATGTTGAAGTAGGCGTTGATCTTCTTCTGCGGGGGTGGGGTTTTATCCTCTTTTATCCAAAACGAGTCGTTTGCTGAGGCTGGTGTCAATAAAAGCTTTTATTGGACTAACAAGGACGTTACAGTTCTGAAACTTACAGGATATTCTTAATATGATTACCTCTTAAGATGTCAAAATCTCAAGGAAAATTTGATTTCTCAGTTCATCACCCCTTTAAATGCACACCACTAGATAAGAATTGGTCAGGGAAAGATGTTTTTTGACCACCTTTGGTTTCAGGACCTGATGGAGAGCACCAATGGTCCAGCAAGTACCCGTTCTGCGGAGGAGCGTTCCAGTCGCCCATCGATTTCCAGACCCAGCTGCTGAGATACGACCCGAACCTGCCGCCCATCCAGGTCCAGAACTACAACCTGTCAGCCAATGAGCAGCTCACTCTCGGAAACAACGGACACTCTGGTTGGTGCAGCATGATTACAGAGCACGGTTTTGTTTTTAAACAATACTAATAACTATTGTCACGGTACATGCATTTTAAACATTCATTTTTAGATAGGCTGTTGCTTTTCATATTGTAATGTCTGAGGAAAAACATAGACTGTTCATTCGAAATAATAGATTAAAGGATTTGTGGTTGTTAAACTAATGAGACTGTGCATCAGACATAAAGGTAAAATAGTCTTTCTTCTCTAACTTAATTTCAAGGTCAACATGGAGAAAATGAGAGAAGGATCTATTTTGCATCTCTGCCATAGTAATTTTCCACAATCACCCGCTTATTATGATAAGACAAAGCTGTTTGTATTTTAGTCTGGAAAATATGGGAAAGTTTTGATTGGAGGTAACGTCTTAAACAACATAACAAGTGATGCTTTTCTAGGTAATGAGTACTTTCTGCCATATTTTTGGTCCAAGTTGAACTAAACAGACTGAAGTTGTTCCATCTACCATCTCCTGACTGTGATTGTGTACTTTCGAGACTCTTTTATTTTATGCACTCTCACTCCAGAGAGCCATGTCTGGTCAGAGAGAGAGAGAGAAATGTGTTCAGTAGTTAACTAAGTTGCCACGAGGATGAATACTGATGAAGTTTTCTAACAGTGAGCCACTGTGTTTGGGGTTTTGGAGCCATTTCAGACTCGGTTTGGAAAAAGTTAGGCAGGATTATTGGTTGAAAAGCTTGCAGAATTTGTTGAATGGAAATCTTAATACAGAGATGCAAGGCCTCAGCCATGATTATTAGGGGCGTAAATGTATCAAAAACCTAGCATTTACTATAAAACAGGTGATTAAACAGACAAAACCAAAACTAAGCATATCTATGAGAGCTTGTTAATGTTTAATGATGATTACATAATGATTAACAGATCATTATTGAATTTAAATCGAAATGCTCTACAAATGTCATTACCTTTCAATTCATATGATCATGCACTTCTTTCTTAAAAATCTACAAATGATTTTCTCCGATGGTTTCGGTGATTAAAAGGATTCATTAGTAAATCATTAACAAACATTATGTTATGCTTGACAGGTCATTAGTTCATATTCAAATAGCTATCAGATAATGTGTTTATTAATATTTAAATAAACATATTAAAATTGCATAATGATTAACAGATCTTATTGCCTTTTCTTAAAGAGGATATTTCTTGAATCATACATCATCAGAAGAATACAATTTTTTTTTCAAGAAAATACGTAGTAATTTATCAAAACAATGTAATATAAACAGTTTAAACAATAGACACTCATAGTAATCAAAGTGAACCTGCACCACCAAACCTTACAAGTCCACACCTCAATGCAAGCAAGAGTGTTTTGCAATAGAAGTACATTGTACCTAACAATTAATACTTTTTTTTTGACGCAAGTACAAAGATGTTAAAGACACCTAATAAAAAGTGGGACATTGTTATATTGTTCAATTTTCAGTTCAGTTGAACATCATACGTACCAAACAACATTTGTATATTTGTAACTGTAAAAAAAGTGTATTCGGTACTATATGAACTAAAGTTTATTGACATTTGTAGATTTTCAAGAACTTCAAATGAATTGAAAGTTTAATGCCGTTTGTAAGCATTTTAAGCATTTTTCTTTTTGATGAAGAAGTTCATTGCAGCATAACAGTGATAAAGTACACAAAGCACCTACTGTAAAAATACAGGCTCAAACATTGAATAGCGCTTCTGCACTAGTCTTTCCTCTCACCATGTAATCAAGGTTTCGTTTTGAATGTAAATTAGTGCAACCTTTGAAGTGATAGTAAAAGGTGTGATCACCAAAGGGGTCGGTGGGTGATGGCTTTATGACTGGCAATCACGGTAACAAACTCTTTTGTCACAGGATGTTCTGCTTCCACTCCCATGCTATAATTGATAAAATACAATTCCGGTGGTACTATTCTCATACTGAGACCAGAGCAAACTGTCTCTAAGATAATTCATTTTGGGGATGAGCTCATTCTAACTTGTATTTTGGAGTGGAATCTGGGTCGAGGTAGTCTATTATTTCTTACTGTTGTAACCACTTAGAAGACCTAGCTAGCAACCAATGCCATGTTGATATGCTGTGACTAATATTTGTTCTCAGAGGAGTTAATTTGACACGGTGTGGTCACATTTGCCTCTGCATGGTAAAATTAACTAATTTCAATAATAGTTTGTGCGTTAGATAATTTTATGTGAGGGCGATGTATTTGTATTAGGTTATTGTTTTTCACACAAATTTGCCTTAGTGACTAACAAAATCCTGCTTGTCTGAAAGTGAATTCTGTGTGAGTGGTTCTTCAAGCATCTCTACACTATTGACAATGAAACATTTCTTGGCATTGAAATTTTGCCTAAAAGATGAAATATACATATATTTTTTTCCTTTTGTACCCACAGTGCTATTGTCCTTGCCGTCTCACATGTACATCTCCAGCCTCCCTCACAGATATTCAGCAGCTCAACTCCATTTTCACTGGGGCTCCTCCAGTCTGTTCACTGGATCAGAACACACTGTTAATGGCAATCGGTTTGCTGGAGAGGTAAAGTAAACCCCCCAAAACAACACCTTACCTTTACTGTGGAGACCTTAAATGCTTGAACAAATGCCCTAAACCCCATTATAGAGGATTTAAAATCTAATCTGAGCCACTTCCAAAAGTGGTTTTAAATCAGATCTGATATCTGGACATCCAACAAACGTCTAAACACGCATATCCGATTCCTCTTTGAATTCCAAGCCACCACAAGGTGAGGACGACATGTTTATTCACAAAGATAGCTTTTTAATGTATTATGAGTAGGGTTGGGTATCGTTTGAATTTGAACGATTCCGATTCCGATTCCTTGTTTCGATTCCGGTTCCTAACGATTCTCGATTCCGATTCTTTTAAGAGGCAGGGTCAAAAAAGTTTAGCTAATCAACGGCCTTTCTGAAGGAAATACTCCTTCTGTAAAAATACTCCTTTTGTCACAAATTTAGCATTTTGCCGAGATTTCGTTATTTTTAGAAAAGTGAAGCCACACTTTGGATCGTCGACGTAAGCTACTCATGTTTGACTCGCGTGGTTATGCCAACACTTCCGGTAGACGCTTCTTCGTTGGTGTTTGTGGTGAGCAGGACGGCCGAGGGACGTGAGAGAAAGTCGCGAGGCCGGTGGTGCGATTGCTAATGAGCAGCACCTGCGAGGCACACCGGTCTCGCATCTCTCACGAAGGAGCGGAGCCATAAAGGGGGAGCGACGGAGTGGATGATCGAGAGAGGAACAGGCCTGCTTTTGTTTGTGTTTTATATTTTATTTGGTAAGCCAGCAGTCGTCCGTGAGGGGCTGCTGGCCGGTATTTTATATTTTATTTTCGGTAGCCAGCAGTCGTCCGTGAGGGGCTGCTGGCAGGTATTTTGTTTGTTTATTTTGTTTAAATAAAGTTTTATTTTTCATTATTATCCGGTTCCTGCCTCCTTCTTCCCTGAACCTTGTTACAGTGTTGTTCAGCGGTTTCTTCTTCCGCTCGGCGGACTGTGAATATCGAAACTAGGAATCGAAATTTTTACTTTTGAATGATTCCGGGAAAAACGAAAAGTTAGTCTCGGTTCCAATCGATACTCGATTCTCGATACCCAACCCTAATTATGAGGCAGATGTGCCTTTACGCTGTCGCTCACAGCTTTTTATTGAGGTGGGAACTTTATATTTATCTTTGTAAAGAAAAGAAATTGCACGAACACAGAAACTTTCAGGAGCTAGTTTTAAACCTCTGCCCATGATTTCTATACCACCAAACAGCTTGCCCAAGCGAGTTGACAAATGCCTTTGCAAATGTGTGGATATGTTTTTTGTACATCTTTTCAGGCAGACTATTTGCATGGGCTGCTTTGGTAACAAGGCTGAAACCTGATAGATAGATAGATGGATGGATGGATAGATTTACTTTTCTGTTGTATCCAGATGCATGTTGTACACTTCAATTCTGACAAATACCCAAACATCTCAATGGCAGTGGACAAGCATGATGGATTGGCTGTGCTGGGAGTTTTCATTGAGGTGAGTCTGGACCTTAAACAAACCACTGAGACTGATGTGGTGTAGTGGTTAAGACTCGGGCTGATGACCGGAAGGTTGCCGGTTTGATTCCCGCAACTGTGCAATGGGCCATCACCACAAGGCATTTAACTCCAGATGCTTTGTTTAGGGTAATTGCCCCTGTAATAAAACCATTGCTTGAAAATCACATCCCCAGCATGAGTCTATTTCTAATCACTCAGTGTTTTATATTGCTTAGATTGGAGAGTTTAACCCTGCTTTTGACAAATTCTTCAAATACATAAATGGGATAAAGTACAGAGGTACGTTACTTTCATATAGTTTCAAATATCTTTGATTATGACGTGCACAACACAAGTATGCTAACACTCCTATTTTTAACCTGTTATCTGACAGATCAGAAAATACAGGTCCCAGCATTTAACGTCCGTGCACTGCTGCCAGCGCGTCTGGACGAGTATTACCGCTACGATGGTTCTCTGACCACACCACCCTGCTATCCCAGTGTGCTATGGACCGTGTTCAGGAAACCTGTCACCATTTCACGAAAACAAGTAAATTAATCATGCTTATTAATCAGAAGCCTATCGTGCTTGAGGATTTGGGAATGATTTTAGTTCTAGCAATGCCTTTTGAGGGAACTAAATGAGCTCCTGCTTCAGAGTAGGGTCTAAACAAGAACGATAGGAACTACCAGTGACGTGTACGCACGTGAAACAAAAAAAAAAAGCTTTGTACACACACAGATTATAGCATATATATATTTAGTCCACAAACTACCTCTACGAACATAGAAAAAAGAGATAGATGGACCCCTCAACCTGTAGGCTAAGCCAACGTGACTTTGAGGGGAAAACACTAATATCTATTTCTGCTCAGCTAGCGACATCGGGTGATCGGACATCAACCACACTAATGCATTTTCATAGACTGTCTACTTTACATGCATAACAGTTCTCTAAAGAAAGAATGGGAGCACTGTGTGCTTTGAAAAAAAACAATCGGCAATTATTATTATTAAATACACACATTCTCTTAAAAGGTCTATAATACCTGGAGCTAAGCTATTCATTAGCATTCATTTTTAATGCTAAAAATGCAGTTGAAATATTAACAGCTAGCACATTTTGTAAGCTGTGATATGACAGGCAGAATAAAAATTACTTGGAAAAGTTTATCTAGTCAGAATGCATGACTACTTTTGAATGGTCATCAACAGTAGTACATCTAGTTACGGCATATACCAGCAGTGCTAACTAGCCAAACGTTGACACTTTGAGTATGGTATGCACCTGTTTCAGCTGTCCATATTGTAGTAATATTACTGTTGTGTCTTTACAGTTTTTGGCATTGGCCACAGCTCTGTATGCCTCTTATGCCCAAGATTCTGCTACCGTGCCACTTCATGGAAATTACCGAAAGCCACAACTCACAGACAACAGAGTGGTACTGGTTTCTTTTAAGGACGGTAAGTACAGTTTAGATTGGAATCTGAATGTGTATAAAATGACCAGGAAGCCTAATGAAGGGCTAAAGCTGAAATGCTCAAACATCTGCTGCAGATCATGGTTTCCTATCAAAGAATTGATAGGAATATAAGCTTTCAAGATGGCTTTGCCTCTCTCTCAACTTCTGTGGAAGGCCTCAGTTTATGCACTGTTACCTTTTTTTCTCAATGAAAGCTACCTTCGCTACTTCAGGCTCCTTCGAAACATATGCTGGATTTTCGATTTTTTTTAAATATTTTCCTTTAAACCGGAGTTGGTGCATAACAGAGTTTGCTTCTAACTCTCAGGCATTTCTATGCTATGAGAGAAGAAGTTTGGGATTGCTCTTATCTTCTTTACTCTTGCTGTTTTCTAACATCTTTGCATGAAGGCTCAATCCATCAATATCCCAGGCTACCGCTTGCTGTGATCTTCAATGCATGGCAATGTTTCCTAAAAAGCTGACTTGCCAAGAGGAAATGTTGGTCCTTAATCTTTCCTTTCAGCATCTGCGCTAGTAAGGCTTTACCCTGGCTGTCCTCCATTGCAATGCTCTGCTTGAACAACCCTCTACATTGTGTCTGGTGCAGGACTGCACACTATTTTTTCAGTGGCGTCCCCCTTTCAGAGGAAGCAAGTCATCCAGAAGCTTCTGGTGGGCGACCTTGCGGACTTGGCTGACGAAGGACTCTACCAACTTCTGCCAAAGTTGAGTCCCCAACCAGGAGTGGATAAAAAGTGGAAAAATACCAACAAGCAGGGACAGTGGAGCCAGGCAACTCAAAAACAGCAGTGGTCGAACAATAAGGTACCAAACAACACTGGCTACTCCTCTTTCGTTGGGAAGAAAACACCTACACCGTGGTATATGGGAGCATTGGGTACGGATAAAGGGATGTGCTTTGTATCCCTGGAGGAGAATGTCGTTCACCAGCTCGAGAGATACCATGCAAAGGGTCTGATGGTCGAAGCTCTCAGAGAGGTTGTATTTCCTGAGTTGAACCTTAGGAGCTACTTGCACTGCCGGTCAGATCTGGACCTTCATACCATAAAGCAACTCATAAAAGGAAGATCTCGGGATGAGGCAGTTGAGCTCGAACAATCACTGACTAAAGCCATGCTGAGGCAGATAAGGAGGCAAATCAAACGGCATAGAAACCCAAACATGGAAACCACCATTGGGCATTCTCAAGCCACATTGCCAAAGGACTACAACTCAGCCTTGACTTACCACAGACCTCAACGTGTTGAATGGGAAGATTAAACCCAGAGAAGACAGCAAACCTCCCAGAGGGCCTAAATTTCCGCAGTACGCTGTCACGCACAATATTTAGTCAACTCTGCTCCTAAGGCTAGCACATCATCTGACTAATATTTATTTAGTGTGATGGTATCCCTCTAACACTCAGAGACTCTCAAACTAGTTGCTTTTGCAGTAGATGAAATGAATCGGTGAGCAAATAATGTTCATGATATGTTATGCCGCTTATTGCGAAGAGGTTAGTTACTTTACAAAGAACTGGACAGTATGCTAGACACCATTTGCTAGATGGTTGTCGACAGGACCGCAAAATGGACCTTTTTCCAAACTCCATATTAACTCTCTAATGATTAGTCCAGACTAAAAGTTGGTCTGTTTTAAGCATTAGTGATTTTTGTGGGAGAGTATGGCTCAAACTGTCTTAATTATTATATGCAATGCACAAAAAGACAGAAGACCATAATGTTTTGGACATATTTTTACATTTTATTGAGAAAAGTGGAGCTGCATATTGCAGTAATTGTATTCTGTGGTTGAAAAGAGTCACTCGCAAATTAAAAGAGACAAAGGGACAAAATCAGCACTTTAAGTATTTTAACATTCTTTTTTTGGGTGTGATCTGAGACGAAGGAGAAAGCAGACAGAGAAATCTTTTTGTACACTGACTCAGATTTTGGATCTGTATCTTTTTTTCGTGAAATGTCTAGAGATCATGGATGGTGAAATAAAAGCATAACGTCGTCGAATTAAAAATGTATCACTTCTTCCATTTGTAAAGGAGAACCATGTCCCTGTTTTTATTCTAAATGGTGTTCAAAAGGGATTTGTGAATATTATAAGGTATTACTGTGTCCATATTTGTTTGTTTGAGTTAAAATTTCTACAATTATCAGAATCTTGTGTTTTTGGGATATTTCAGCGAAAAATTATCTACTCATGTCATTTCAAACCTATTTCTTCTTTTCCATTTGACTTTATTTCTTCTGCTGATGAAGATTTTTTTATTTTATTTTTTAATGTGGATGTGCAATACGTTTACAAAACTTTCCTCTCAATGCAGTTTTCTTTTCTTTCCTCTAAGGAGACATTACTTGGATGAGCTGGGGTATGTTATGGTAACGCAGTTTGTGCATGTGTGTGTGTGTGTGTTTGTGATATCAGATACTTCCTCACCTCTGGCTAACAGATGTGACGTCTTGAGTTATGACACTCACACATGCGAGGCGAATTGCTGGTGGCCATGCAGTGACGTGTAACTGCAGTGTTACGTCACTCGTCTTTGACCACAGCATAATTGCTGTTGACATAAGATTGAACATATGGAGAGGGCATGTTTGTTCATTTAGCATGACTTTAGGACCTTATCGTTGACGTATCTATGGTTTAGTTCTAATTGTAGTGCTGCAGTGGCTGACAGATATCTTTACTTTAAACCACTGCGCTCATGAGCATGCATGTCTCATTTGACACTACTGGGTTCTGTCACCACATGTGTAATCATATCCACATTTGTGTATTTTTGTGCATTGTGTCACTTGTGTAACATTATGGTGTGATGACTGCTAATCATACTGAGAACAGCTAACCAATAAGCTAATCTGGGTACGGAGTTAAGCAGGTAAGTTGATTTTATTAAGTCAACATGAAATCAAAATTTACCCTATACATTCTTTTGACATCCACAATTCAAAAGTGAACATTATTCTTAAGTAAAATGATCAAACGCGTTTTGTTTTCCACCATCAAATCAATTCCCTACGGATAAAATCAAATCCTGCCGTGTTTAATATCTTGTTTCACTCAGGTATCCATTATTTTATGAATATAAAATGGATTGCAAATGCAATTTCATGTTGACTTTAATGTCACTGGCTTTCATTTTGTGCACAAAATTAATTTTAAACCAGGTTATGATCATGTACGTTGATAAATGTTCAAAGTTAAAATGGAAACGTTGTAAATTTATAATACAAAGTTGTACAAAAATAAGGGTAATCAAACATACTGTTAATTATGAGGTTAATTCTCCTTTCAGGTATACTAGCAACAATAATAATGGCCTCCATGCTAGGACTGCTACTGATCATTACACTATTGTGGTGTCTTTTGAGAAAAAGGTGAGTGTTTAATTCAGACCAAAATGAAACAAATGACATAAAGATGCAGTCACATTTACCTTCTTTGGATTTTCAGTCGAAATCGTGGTTATTTCAGTAGTAATCTACGGGATTGGGAATCGATTCAAAACATTTCCCCACACATATATCACAACTGGTTCAAATGGGCCACTCGAATTCGCAGCGTTGACCAACACAAAGCTGCTTGGTTTGAACAAGACTTGTGTGAAGTTAAGGTAAAGAGTTTCCTTGTAAACTTGAACCCTTAATCAGACAATCAGACCATTCGATATTTTAACATAAAATATAGATCCAACAACAAAAGTATAAAGAGGTTTTTATTTCTGTCATGACAACTCTTGGAGTGCACGGTTATGGATACGACAATGTTGATTTGTTGGTCTTGGCGGAATAGATCTGGTGCTTGGCGGAGCTTAGGTGGAGGCAGAATGATTCTTTTGGCCACTTCACTAACCCTAGCTAGCTTGTTTTTTAACAATGACTGTAGAAAATCCAATTTCCAATTTTATTTTGCCACAAAAAGGGTCTATAGGCAGGTAAACAACACATAGTTGAGAGTTATATCACCCTTCGTTCCTCATGTCTGTGGAAACGCCGGTTCGCCTGGCCGAGAACATTGGTGGAAAAGTGTAGATATAGATTGATATGACTGTAGCAGATTGAGTTAAAGGGTTAGTTCACCCAAAAATGAAAAGTCTGTCAGTATTTACTCACCCTCATGTTGTTCCAAACCTCTATGTGTTTATTTGTTCTGCTATACACAAAGGAAGATATTTGGAAGAATGTTTTAAACAAACAGATCTCATTCCTCATTGACTACCATAGTAGGAAAAAATACATACTATGGTAGTCAATGGGGAATGAGATCTGTTTGTTTAAAACATTCTTCCAAATATCTTCCTTTGTGTTCAGCAGAACAAATAAACACATAGAGGTTTGGAACAACATGAGGGTGAGTAAATACTGACAGAATTTTCATTTTTGGGTGAACTAACCCTTTAAGAACTTATCAGCCTGTGCCATCTAGAGTTTCATGACAGAACTTTGAATTTGAGGAAATATTTTGGGGAACATTTGCATTTTGAAATTCTGCCACAATAGAAACAACCAGCGTGAACATCAAATACCATGTGGAATAAAAGACACAATTCAGTTTGTTGCAAGTGAAGGGAAACTGTGTTTACCACATAGGCTTAAAGTTCAAAGTTATTAATAATGCATTTATTTAACACAATGTAATGTGACTGTGCTGTAAAGATCCCACCATAATTAATTAACATCAATTTAGGGAGCCTCGGGCACAGACCACTAAATGGAAAAAGTTGCCTTCAATAGGAATGTGTTGATTAAGATCCTTTGCTTTTCCAGCTTTTATCCGAATACCTGGACAATGTGTTTGTTTTAACAGAAATTATCTGGCATTCATTAATTTATTAGTAGTTTTCATAAGATTAAATGTACTGTTGCACTTTTAAATTGTGCGTTGTGTGGGCAAAATCCAGTCATTTTATAGGAATTTGTCCCGTCAGGAGTTTCAAAAAAGAGCGAAAAGTTCCCTACGTGTTTACGTTAGTCATGTGAATTTGCCGCACTGATGTGACTGCATCTTAATGCAAGTTTACCAGTTTTATGGTTCCACATATTCCCACAATTAACTGCCCATCTCCTGTTCTTTTAACTAGATCTAACACCGAAGAGCAGAAAGACAAAACCACTGCATACAAACTGGCTGAGAAAGAAGAAAACATCTCCAAAGTATAACCTCTCAACATCTGACGAAACCTGAGCAAATAGGCTCTGAAATCCACATGCAGTCCATCCGTTTTTCCATCATTTGCATTTGTCTCCTTGGCTCATGCGCCTGGTTGCTAAGGAATCGTCTAGTTGCATGCAATATTTAGATCAAAAATGTTCAAGGAACTCCGACTATTTGAACACCGAGTTCTTCTTCAACCACATTCTAATCCGACAGGAACCGAAAAACCTAAGATGACACGTGAGAAGAGTAAAAATATGTCATTTTCGTTCAGTATGTAATTCACCACATGCGAATAACCCACCAGTCAACATCAAACCTGGTGCTTTGAGAAGCAGAAACCATCATACATTATTCTGCAAGGGTGGCCTTCCTTTGCTGTCCGGCGGCATGTGACATCTCTCCATGCAGTGCCAGGCAGATGTGGTGGGAAAACACAGCTTCTGCCCGAGGCAACGAGGACATTCTGGTTCAGAATGGATATGTGGTGGCCTGAGATGGATAGTTATGATGTCCCCACCCTATATTTACTATTGTGCTGTTTGACCGATTAGAGTAATGAAAGGGTACGAGAAGAGCCACGCTCTTGGTTCCCACTGAGCTTGCCACAGAACTGGCCTATTGTTCACCAGCTTGCGTGTAGGTTGACCTTTGACTTATCGTTGCCTGAGCAATCATGAGACTAAACGCCCATGCACACACAGTAACCCGTACAAATATAAAGTACCGTAAAGCTCAGACTTGTAACTGTGAAGATACTGCATGACTCGAGTGATTAGTTTGATGAACGCTACATCAGGGGGGCTCGTTCCTGATTTTGAACCTTCACCTTCGCCTGCTTGTCATTTTTAAGTACACAACGATCTTGATTTGAGGCTTCATTTACATTTATTCCAGATTTGAAAATGTTTTTCAGCATTTTTTGAAGTGCTTTCAAATGTTTTTACTTGTCCACACTGAAACACCTGAAAATGCAAAAATCATCTCACTACGCATGAATAAAATGTAATAAAAGCTCACTGAGATGAGATGGATCAGACAAAATAAACCAGACAAAACATATATCAACCGATACAGATATGGTGGCCGATATATCATCCCTGAATTGTTTACACAGTAATCTTCTGGCACAGTCACTTTATTAGCAAAATATCCCACCACTCAATGGTGCGTCTCACCGTCGAATCGCCATTTCATGTCTGGTCTTTGCCGCAGGACATTTCTGTCACCTTTTGCAGGGCAAAGTAACATTTTACATTTTTAGGCAGAACTGGCGAACATTCAACTTTTAATATAAACTAAATAAAATAAAATAAATAAAGCGACAGCCCCTCATGGCCACCGGCCTCGCTCCGTTCCCACAGCTCTCGGCCCCGCCCTGCAGTTACCTGTTGCCATACAGAAGTAACGTAATTGCGACATGGAGTGAATTCATTTTTTCCTCTATTTTTAGACCTTCCATCCACAATGAGACGGCATCGTCCTCTGAAAATTTAGCTTTTTGAAGACCTTCGCCTAAGTGGATCAATTTAAAAATGCAGGTTGTGAAAACTGAGGTTTTTGAAAACGATGACACGTTTTGTCGTGTGATGCATATTTTATCGATATATGATGTTTATACTCACAGTCTTGCTAAATTACTAAATTGTTATTGATAAATAACTTGCTAAATTGTTATTAAATGTTACTTTGTACAATCTTTTAATTACATTCCTGTAAAGGTGACAGAAAATGCACTCATCTTCCGACGTTTCAGCTTGAACAAGAAACTTTTGGAAAATGCTTAAAAACCCTAGAGAGCATTTTGAAATGAAGACGCTGTATGTGAACTAATGTAGATGAAGCCTAAAGATAATTGATTTCAAATACCTGTTTAAAAATATAGATATACCCACTTCACAGGACAAAAGCACTGTCTCAATGTGGGTGGAAGGCCAAAACATAGGGTACGTTTACACGACAATGATGTACTAAAAACTGAAACGCTTTTTTCTTTGTGTTTTTGAAAAGTTGAAAACGTTGACAAAACGATCTTGGTTCACATGGTGCGAGACTGACTAAAAACGCTGTATTATTCATGCCAGACCAGTAGTTGGTGATTTCACTTTGTAAAGACAAAACATGTCAATAAACTGAACACGTAATGTGCATGACGTCACCGTTTTTGTTGTTTACAGACAAATAATGGTATTTTTACAAAAACTTGCACTTTGAAACTCGTTTAAAGGTTGTTGTTTTTTTTTTTTGTTAACCTGTCAAGTAGATGCCCCACATAAAGAAAAAGATGCATTTTCAAATGTATCCGGATTCGTGTAGATGTAGCCTGAGTCGAATCTGACAAAATAATTGATTATTCAAGAATTATCATATTGATTATGATATGACTTTGGAGATCTTTGAAGCTGTGATTTCTGTATGACACTGAGCAAACAGGTCTGGTAAAGTTCTGGTGATTTTGCTAGTTAACAGCCATCGCACTCTGGAAAATGTGAAAAAGATGACAGAATGTGATTTTGATTTATTCTATGTGGGTTAGTTGTGTGTACGTATTTGTGAAGAACAGTGTGAATTTTGAGGTGTTACTTTTCATTGTATTTTTCCTCATTGGTCTTAAACGTGTCTTAAAATGTTTTGGTATTGTCAACTACTGTGCTGTGATGTTTTTTGTGCTTCTAATAAATTGACCCAATAAAAAATATATATAATATTTTTTAGCATTATTTATATTATTTTAATTATACATAATAATATTTATTATGCAAATTGCCATGTGTTTAACTTTAATTGTTTATTACTACTATTATATGAAATATGAAGTACTTAATTTTGATCTTGCTCTAATGTCAGAAATTGACTGATTGTAGCACTAAAACCTAAATAATTTCATACTTATCTATAGTCTTCTTAAACAATAAGTCCGCGCAAGCTGCTTATTAGGTAATCTAAGTAGCCTACTTTATTGTCATTTAAAGCAGCAAAAAATAAAATAAATCGTATTAAATTTAAAGTAGCAGAAGAAACATTTCTTCTATTTTTTGCTGTTTTAAATGACAATAAAGTACTTAGATTATCAAATAAGCAGCTTTATATATATATATATATATATATATATATATATATATATATATATATATATATACAACAGATTAAAAAAAACTGTACAAAATAGACATGGGCTATTACAAATGAGCTTTATTGGTTTGTAGCAGGTGTACGACTCTCGCATCCCTTTTAGATTTGTGGTTAATCGCTATAACACCTGCTATAAACCCCAATTACAAAAGAGAATAATTATTATTAGACAGACAGACAGACAGATAGATACTCATAGATCGATACTCATAGTTATACTAGATATACTCATAGATATACTCATACTCATAGTAGATATACTCATACTCATACATAGCTAGATAAATGGACAGATAAAAGGATGGAACATAGATACCCGATAGCTTAGTTTATAAATACATGTTATTTATTCACAATAATTTTAAATATAGGCCTATACGTGTTCCTTTTAGTGTTAAATGTCCAAAAATTTCAGTTAGCCTATTAAAAGAATAAGAATGTTTTTTATTTAAATTATTAACTTAATAGACTTATATTATTATTGTAACAGTTTATGAAGTGATAGAAATTACGTTCAGTTTGATTGATCATGCTTAAGCTATACATATTTTAAATTAATATAGTTCGTACAAGTATAATCATTAACTGATAGTTGAGAAGAACTCGGTTTCTCAAGACAGCGGTCATGCAATATCTTTGGAAACACATGCATAGACTAAAAAAAAGGCAAAGACAGTAAAAGAAAAGAACCCATGGTGCAATGGCGTCCTCTAGTGTTTATCACGGCATTTACAGATTATTGTTATTGTCAAAGTACTTCCGGGTGCTAATACAGAGACGCGTCTGAAGCTGATCTGTTCATTCATAACTACTTTCGTTTTTAATCATGTACCACCAACCCGTACTGAAAAACAGACGGACTCTACTGGAGCGAGCGGAGAAGTTTATCTCCGACATATATTTCACAGACTGCAATCTTAGAGGAAGGTAAGCCAGTGCACTTCTGTAAATGTTTGATATATAATTATTATGCAAATTGACTTATCAGTTTTAATGTTAAACCAACTATTTGTACTTAATAAGTCTTTAAATAACGAATATTTGTGTTTCTTTCTTGTAAACAAGTTATGGAAGGTTAATGAAAGACCTTTGACCTTGTTTGGTAGTTTGTTATGAGCAGTGACGTAAACACTCTCATTCACTGCAGGCTGTTTGGAGACACTCATCCACTTGAGTCCATCACTGCGTTCCTGTCTGAGAAGAGAATTCCTTATTCAGAGGCCATCCAGCAAAACTTTCAGCCTTGCAATGTTGGTGATGCATTCGGACCCACGTAAGTTGTGTAAATGTTTACAGTCCAACAATAATGTGTAGCATTTGTGTATTGACTAAACTAAACATGTTTGGCAGATGGTGGACATGCTGGTTCAAAGTGGTCTTGAAGATCCCTGAGGCTTGGAAAGAGAAGGAGGTCCATTTGAGATGGGAGAGCGATGGAGAGGGGATGGTGTGGCGGGATCACCAACCAGTTCAGGTGTGGAAACCCATGTCCAGATCACATCTCATGAATGACATTTAACATTTAAGAGTTCATGCATTGTGAATTATTTTTTCAGGGTTTGACCAAAGAAGGTGAGAAGACCAGCTATATTCTGACCGAGTGCTTGAAGGACAGTGAACCTCATGGGTTAGTGGAAATCTAAAGTCTGACTCTAAACTGATCTACATTTGCTTCCATTTTAATGTTTTAATCTCATATTTAAGCATTACCCTATACGTGGAACTTGCGTGTAATGGACTTTTTGGAGCCGGACAAGGTTCCATGATTGCCGCCCCCGACCCAAATAGGAAGTTCACTCTCCAGAAGGCCGAGCTTGTTGTTTTCAATCGAGATGTAAGGGAGCTTCTCACCGACTTTGAGATGCTTGTGGACATTGTCAAGGTATTTTCACATTGAACTGTGATGTTAAATGCCTTTAAAGTGAACAGTAGAACAAAAATGTAAACATTCCCGGTCCAATTGTTTCGCTGTTTGCACAGTTACTTGGAGATGGAGAGCAGCGTGGATTCCAGGCCTTGTTTACAGCCAATGAGATGGTGAATCTGTGCGATCCAGCCAATCCTAGTTCATTTGCTGCTGCTCGAAGTCTAGCTCAGAAGTTTTTTGCCCAGAAAAATGGGGAAAGCCAACATGTGGTTCATGCCATGGGCCACTGCCATATTGACTCGGGTAATATTAAATAAATATTATTTTACTTTGTTATTTATGTAATTTTAATTATGACACTTTTGGCAGGCACAAATACACACTAATGTTTAAAAGTATGGGTCAGATTTTTATATTTTTGAAAGCAATTATCACTTTGTTCAGCAGGTACACATTACATTGATCAAAACTCAGATTATAGACTGACATTGATAAAAAAAAAGATCTATTTTTAAATAAATTGCTGTTTTTTTTCTATTCATCGAAGAATTGCATGCACAAAAATATTAAGCAGCACAAATGTTTTTAACATTGATAATAAGAAGAAATTATCCAAATGATAATTTGAAGGATCACATGACACTGAAAACTGGAGTAACAATGCTGAAATCTGAGCTTTGCATCATAGGAATAAATGACATTTAAAATTGTGATAAAATAGCATAGTCATGTTGAATTGTAATAATATTTCACAATATAACTGTAAGAAACTTCTCTCAAAAACTTTAAACATCATTCTGACCCCAAACTTTTGAATGGAAGTGTACATAGGACATGTTAAATCTTGTTGAATCTGTTCATCCCCATCGTCAGCTTGGTTGTGGCCGTATGAAGAGACCATCAGGAAGTGTGCTCGCAGCTGGGTCACTGTGATCCGACTGATGGAGAAGAACCCCGACTTTGTCTTTACATGCTCCCAAGTACGTTGTCTTTCTTTTTGGCACAACGAGAAGGAATTTCCTTGACTTTGGCCGTCCGCTAATTGAAATTCTTAATAAACATATTAAATGTTGGGATAGTTCTAATGTAATTTAAGGATTAAGGGATAATATATATATATAATTAAGGCTTAAAATACATAATTAAGGATAAAATAAATAATTAAGGATAAAATATATAATTAAGGATTAAGGGTTAAGGGATACAAAAATATATATAATTAACTCAGTACAGAGCAATAGATGTCAATGAAATGACACACAGATGTGTTTGTGCAGGCACAACAGTTCCAGTGGGTGAAGAGCTGGTATCCGGGTCTGTTCTCTGAGATCAAGCGCTTTGTGCAGAAAGGCCAGTTTATTCCAGTCGGAGGCACGTGGGTTGAGATGGTAGGACACCAATTGTTGTTTGTTCCTTCACCGCATAGTTCACCCAAAAATGATGTCATAATTACTCGCCCTCATGTCATTTCAAACCCGTAAGACCTTCGTTTATCTTCTGAACACAAAATAAAGATATTTCTGATGAAATCCGAGAGCCCCTTCATTGACAACAACAGAGTAAAGACCTTGTTGAAATAGTCCATGTGACTCCATTGGTTCAACCTTAATGTTATGAAGCACTGAGAATACTTTTTGTGCGCAAAAATAACTACTTAATTCAACAATTTCTACTCTTCGGTGTCAGTTTTTATTACTATATCTTTTAACTGTCTTTACTACCTTTCTGGGCCTTGAAAATGGTAATAACGTTGCAGTCTGTCGGGGGGGTCAGAAAGCACTCGGAATTCATCAAAATATCTTAATTTGTGTTCAGAAGATAAACAAAGGTCTTACGAGTTTGGAACGACATGAGGGTGAGTGCTAAAACGAGTAGCTCACTTTAAAAAAAGCTTTTGCTGATAATTCACTCACCCACATGTCATCCAAGATGTCCATGTCATTCTTTCTTCAGTCGAAAAGAAATGAAGAAATGAAGGTTTTTGATGAAAACATTCCAGGATTTTTCTCCATATAATGGACTTCAATGGGAACCAAACGGTTCAAGGTCCAAAAGACAGTTTCAGTGCAAATTGCAAACTGTTCAAAGCGCTTTAATTGATTCTAGACGATGAATAAGGGTCTTATCAAGAGAAACGATCGCTCCTTTTGAAAATAAATAACAACAAAGTTTAAGTTTTATAAGCACAAATGGTCGCCTTGCACTGTTCTGTGATGCGCGTTCGTGACTCTCCTGTTCGAACTCGTTTATCAAAATGAACGAATCTTTTTCCAAGTCAATTTGTTCGTTTCGTTCGTTGAATGAACCAAATGACACAAAAAAAGATTTGTTCATTTTGATGAACGAGTTCGAACAGGAGAGTCACAAACCCGCATCACAGGACAGAGCAAGGTGACCATTTGAGTTTATAAAACTTAAACTTTGTTATTTA